GGACTAGGTGATTTCCCTTGATTAGTAGCGCCTTTGCGGCCGCCATCCGGCGGCACCTTGCCCGCAAATTCTGTGAACGTATTCGCTGTACTGGTGTATTGCCGTCGCGGACTCTTCAACTTGAAGCTATCCTCTCGCGGCAGAGATATTTTCATCCGCTCCACGCGCCTCTCATCCAGCGATGTCTGCATTACAAACTCATCCAACAAGGTCGGGTTTATTGGCGTCGTTGAGCGCGGTCTCTCGATTGGAATTGTTCTGATAACAAACAGCGTGATATAAATCCAGTTATTAATATAAATAAAAAATTGTTAAAAATTTGTCCTCTATGTGTAATTTAATATTAATAGTTGATTTTTATATTTAACATTAATATTGAATTACAAAGTAATTAAACTCGAACAAATAACTTTATATTATAATTTAAGTATCATGTATATACAATGGTGTTCCGTTACAAAAACCGACAAGTTTTGTCAACATGTTCGAATGGTTAATTCTAAGCAAGAGTTCATATACATAATCGGTCGATTTTTCATTCCCAAGATGTGAGCATTTTGTACAAGGCATGTTGTACAAGGCCCCATGATAAAAGCTCTTCAATTCCATGTGACAATCATTTGATTTATTGATATTACCATTAATCACATTACAATCACAACTACATTTATTTACACTCGGTAAATTGTCTTCCTGTTTACAAGTATTATTTAAATTGTTCATCTTGCTGTAAACATACCCAGTCTGATCTAGTGGCTCCAGTGATTACATTAGCAATATCATGACAGACGCTACCTGCAGCTTCCGTCATCACCTGTTCTCGTGTCTTCTCGTATTTCTCGGAGGAATACAGTAACCGGGCATTTTACGTGTTCTGATGATGCTTCTGGTGCATTGGCATTTTTATTTCATATCTTGAAAACAAAGCCGAATCAATCTCCATGGTACGTATAGTAATTCATTTTCTTCTTAGACTGACCATTTGAACATGCTGATAAAACTTGTCAGTTTCCTAATGGGACACCCTGTATATTGTTCGCGTGTGTCGTGATTTCCAAATTTTTATTTGAAAGAATTACCTTACTTCCTGAAGTCGTTGTTTAACTGGTAGAATGGGTACAGCTACGCTCTTCTCTAATGGCAGGGTCGTCGGTACATATGGAAGATCCTCCTCAAAACTCTCCTCATAGAAGAGACCCTTTCGCTCGTCTGGTAGCTCCTCGGTCAGTTTCTCGACCTTATTGCGAATAAACTCAATCTCCGAATCTCTTTCGGATTCAGAGCTGTTATGATCCAAATCAGATATCACACTGGGTGCTTTTACTAGACCTTCCTGTTCCAACGACTTGCCAATCTTATCATCGAGGTGATCGAGTCTTTTAGTTTCTTGAGCAGCTCGAGAAGGCTCGTCCGAGCTTACTCTTTTCTGTTGCATCGCTACATCGTCGCTTATCCTCTCAGATAGTTCAGGCTGCCGCTGCTGCTGCTGCTGCTGCTGCTGCTGCTGCTGATTCTCTTTGCTTTTTCTCTTCGGCTTTGTTATGTCCGGTTTTTTGCCGGTAGACTCTCTCGACAAGCCACCAGACAACGTTCGTAAGTCTGTCGATTTAATTTCCGATGTAATCGCCAGTTTAATATCTGATTTAACATGAGTAGTCGATGACTTGGCTAGTGGCGGCGTTCCGACTATTTTGTTAGCCTGCGCGCTGATCTTCGAGTCCTTCAACGAACTTTTTAATGTATACGAATCTTTTGGCTCGCTCTGCGACAGCTGGCTATCTCTGGACGAACTTCTGGATGCAATTTGCGCCGTAACCGTCTCAATCTGCGCCTCGGTTCTAATCTTGGCAATCGACGATGGATGGTGCTCAATGGACACCTCTGTGATTATACTACCCGTATGCGGTCCCTCAGACTCGTACTCGTCCAGTAGTTTGGTCGGTGTTTCCAAAGGTATCGAAACACTCTCTGACGGCAAGGCTTCCTCGTAATTTCTGTCATCGGCATGCAGACTAATAAAGATCGAATCATCCTGCCGATTCTTTTCCTTTTCCGCGTTGAAAGTAAACTCTACGTGACCGATGCTCTCTAGAGACGGGTGTTCATCTCCACTAGCGACTTCAAGATCGCACGAAGCCGCGATTGCCTCATCGTAGCTCTTCTTTCTTTCACGTTTCTTAAACAAACTCAGCGTAGACGAAAACACCCCTTTATTCTTCGAATCTTTTTTCAAGATCGAACCCTTGTCAACAGAAACTCTTTCGCGTGACTTTGAACGACTTCTCAAACTCTCCGTAGTATCCTTCAATTTCGATGTCAGACTCCGTCGTGGCTTTGTGCTAGGTGATGGTGATTCTGGGCTCAATACGTTACCGTCGGCTCTAGTCTATTTAATTATAAATACAATAGTCAACGATATACGATTCAGTAACTTGGTAGAAGATCATATATTAATATATTAAGTTGTATGCAAAATTGTCGTTTTATTTTTTTAATCAAATTCTATTTTAAATAAAAACTGTAAAATGTTTTAGAAAGACGATAAAACTCCCCCTAAAGAAAAATATGTATTTGAAGATGACTATAATGATTATTTTACACACATAAGAATCACTTCAAAATTATTTAATACATCTCATAATTTTTTTTTTTAATTTAGCATAATGCAACTAATTTTCCTCTTTTCTTTGTTAATTACTAATAAAAATCGCAAAATTGTATATTAAGTAGATTTTATGTATGTACCTTAAATAATGAAGCGAAACTACTTTTTCTAGATACGGACGATGGACTGGGTGTTCGCGAACCTTCCAAATCACGAACTTTTTGATGTCTCGGCAACTTGGGACTTCCGGTAAGACTACTTGTCGTAGGCGTCGTCTGAACAATCTCCTTAAAGTTTTGAGCTTTTTTCCTTTTGTCGTTAAAATCAAGTGTCGCGGGTTTCTGAACTTCTTGTATTTGAATCTTTGATTGATATTGCTGTTGTTGCTGTTGCTTCTGCTGTTGATGCTGTTGTTGCATTACCGATCCTTGTTGTTGGCCCGACTTTTTGATGATCGGAACCTATCTCATACATATACACACACAGTACGAGAAAAGATATAATATATTTAGCTTTCAATCTCGCTTTCAAAAGCAAATATTCATTTACATCTTATTCAGAAACATTTTTACGATATTTTTAATTTAGCATATATTCAAAAGAAATTCGTTTATATTTCGATTAGTAAGATTAGTAATAGAGAGAGGAGAGAGAGAGAGAGAGAGAGAGAGAGAGAGTTTAGAGAAGGAAAGAAAGTTTTAGGATATTTTTGCGCTATTACATGCCCATGTTTTATTCTAACGATACAGAATTTTCCGATGAAATTTAATTTAATAAAATTCTATAATAAAACTATATAATTTGGTTTATATAAAAAGATTCTAATTCACGAGAGACGACTCGCAGATATTGCTTGGATATTTCTCGATAAAATGTATCAGGTAACTGAAAAACAAGAGCTTAACAGACAGAACCAACCTCTATATTAACTTTCTCCAGAAATCTTTTGGTAATTTCCACTTCTCGTTTGAAGATTTCCTTCCGCTCCTCACGACCGCGTCTTCTGGGCTTATCCAACGGATCCGGCTTCAGATTGCCACCTACCATAGGCACTTTAATACTCTCGGGAATCAACGCCTTCGTAGTATCGGCCTCTCGCTTCAAGAGTATTTTCTCGAGATCATCGGTCTCCGGTTTCGACGGCTCTATCAGATTGTCAGCCAACGTCGGCTTGCTTCCGCAGAACGACGTCTCTAGTAGACACTTGTGAGGACTGGGAGATCTAAAAGAAATTTATCAACAACTCGTATGTTTTATTTTTCTCATATTACGCTGTATAATTTTCCTCAGCAAAACCTTTCTCATTTTCCGTTAATAAACTTTTGAGAAGGTCAAAGAAAATAATCTAGAAACTTTAAATTTTAAGCTTTGCGTATAAGTAGCAAATAATAATTTAAATAACGCGACAGTTTTATTCTTTAATCAATTTCTGGCGTATATCGATGTAGCAAGAGAAACTTCAATTGCGAAACATAAAAGGAAGTTAATAATAGATTCTAGAGTGAGTCGGCAACGTTGAACGAAATTTTCGAAAAATATACAGTTCGATTTTCTTAAAGAACAAAATTTTGCGCCAGTAGGTGTTCATATACAGGGTGGGGAAAAAGTATGGAAGCAAACAATTATTTCCGAAACTATTCATTTTTCGACAAAATGTCTTAGACATAATTTTTATGGTATGAAAAGATGTATTATGTGGCATAGACGGCATGACCTTGAAATGACCCTTACGAGCTGCATACAAATAACGTAA